AAACAAAAGGCTTCTCTACCGTGTGGACCCTCATGTGACGTTTAAGATTGAACTTTTGGTAAAAACTTTTTCCACAAGTTTTACAAACAAAAGGCTTCTCTACCGTGTGGACCCTCATGTGACGTTTAAGATTGAACTTTTGGTAAAAACTTTTTCCACAAGTTTTACAAACAAAAGGCTTCTCTACCGTGTGGACCCTCATGTGACGTTTAAGATTGAACTTTTGGTAAAAACTTTTTCCACAAGTTTTACAAACAAAAGGCTTCTCTACCGTGTGGACCCTCATGTGACGTTTAAGATTGAACTTTTGGTAAAAACTTTTTCCACAAGTTTTACAAACAAAAGGCTTCTCTACCGTGTGGACCCTCATGTGACGTTTAAGATTGAACTTTTGGTAAAAACTTCTTCCACAAGTTTTACAAATAAATGGCTTCATCCCTGTGTGGATCCTCATGTGACCCCTTAGATAGGATTTGAGGTTAAAACTTTTTCCACAAGTCTTACAAATAAAGGGCTTCTCTCCTGTGTGGATCTTCATGTGAGAATTCAGATTTGGCTGATGTTTAAAAAGTTTTCCACAAGTTTTACAAATGAAAGCCTTCCCCCCTGTGTGAACCTTCATGTGACGGTTAAGATTGGAGCTTTGGGTAAAGCTTTTCCCACATGTTTTACAAGAAAATGGCTTCAAACCTGTGTGGACCCTCATGTGGCCAATTAAGTGACTATAATCAGACATGTTTTTCCCACAGGTGGGACAACTATACATCAGTTTATCAGAGTTCTGGTTCCAGACTCTGTGGACCTTGATGTGACGGGAATGTAGTGATTTCTCTAAAAACATTTCTCCACAGATCACACAAGAAAACCTCTCAGGTGTTGCTGATTGGTCTGCTTGGTTACCATGACGACCCTCTGTTTGATCCATCTTCTCATCTGACCTTGAATTCTGATCCTGGTCCTCAGGTCCAGCAGAACTCTGAGAGATGAGCTGCTCCTTGTCTGGTTCTGGTTCACTTTCTTCATATRAAACAGTCACCAGAACCGGATCAGTCTCCTGCTTCAGGTGGAGCTGATCTTCCTCCTGATTGGTGCAGAGCTCCTCTTCCTCTACTTTGANTATATACTCTATCTATCTATCTATCTATCTATCTATCTATCTATCTATCTATCTATCTATCTATCTATCTAATACCTCCTACAACACTGTCACCTGCAATTCCTTTTTAATTTAAAACCTTTGAAACTTGTGACAGTTTTCCTTCAAGATTAAACTGTTTAATATAAAAGTCTGTCATTATGGTGAAGAGAAAAAAATAGTGATAATGTATTTTGCAGCAAAGTTTGAACCATTTTCATTATTTAAGAGCAGATTGGGTTGAATCGAATCGTGATTAATCGATTCAGAACCTTGTGAATTAAAATCGTATTGATCTAGAGAATTGRCCATGATACCCAGCCCTAATATCAACTAGTTTTGGTGGTTTTACATGCTGTCTGGAGACGTAGAGAAAGAAATGTGAATCTTTTAACGTTACAGGAATAACTGAGAATACGCCGACAGCGGGAGGTACCAGGCTCTGGTACTGGWACCGGACAGACAGCAKGAACAGCTGATCAACCATGTGAGGTAAACGTTCGCTACGTCAGAACTTATTCAAAAAATCTGTTCCCATCTCTCCTTTCTCGCACAAACTCTTATTTCGAAAAACCCAAAAACCACCACAAGAGAGCGTATCAACCTTTTCTAATGCGATACTTCAAAATGTGCATTAAAAACCGTTGATGGAAACACGGCTAGTGTTCCTAAAATTAAAAATGTTTTCTTTGACTTTTTGTATCTGAAGGATTACAGGCACTTTAAGACTTTTCTAACTTTTCTCCACATTCTGAACGTTTCATTCTTCTCCTGGCTGTAAAACCTCCTCAAGATCATTTGATGAAACTTTTTTCCACTCTGTGCACTGCCATGTGACGAGTAAGAGAAGTATGTCCGTAAAAACCTTTTCCACAAGTTTTACAAATAAATGGTTTCTCTCCTTTGTGGATCTGCATGTGACATTTCAGATGTGACTGATATTTAAAACATTTTCCACAAGTTTTACAAATAAATGGTTTCTCTCCTTTGTGGATCTGCATGTGACATTTCAGATGT